TCTCTCTCTCTCTCTCTCTCTCTCTCTCTCTCTCTCTCTCTCTCTCTCTCTCTCTCGCTCGCTCGCTCGCTCGTGTTTGATTTTGTCATGTCACGTCATAATGTCCTATTGTCTGTAAATGTTCGAAGGGATAGACAATAGCGGGCACGGCCGCCTGCGGGTGAAAAGATACTACATCCCGGGTGCGGGCGGGCAATGATTTTCTTGCGGGTGCGGGTGGGTCTGGGTGAACCTTTTTTACGGGTGGCGGGTGGGTTGGGCGTGGGCGGAAAAATTCAAAAAAAATGCTTGGGTGGGCTGGATCATCTTCAAACCTTCTTTTTTCTCTTTTTTTAAGGGTTGCATGTACTAAGAAAATTTTGGGTGGGTTGGGTGAAGTGGCATTTCAAAAAACAAATGCTCATCTTTGTCGCCGGGGCAAATTTGCACTTGAGCTCAAGGTACCTCTTCCGGGAGCCTTGAGTTCAAGTACGAGGGGACCCGCAGTGTCGACATCGCCGGCGATAAAATATACATATTTTCTGGGTGGGCCGTTCCAGGTCCAGCGGGTGGTCCAGCCCTCCGGCAGGCCTCTCAACGGCTCGTTGGCGGCGGTGTGACGCCCCAGCCTCACGCCCGACGCGACTTCCTGATCAGAATGTGAGTGGGCCTGGAAGTGCGAAAAGGGGGTGTGCCAAGGATTATAGGAAAGTGGGGGGGGTGGAGTCCCAGGTCGGAACTGAGATCTCCTGTGGGAAGTTTCAGGGGTAGAGATGTAAAAGGGTAGGTGCGGGTTGAAGTCTGAGCGTGGAGCTACCACCTCGGATGGTTCCGTCGCCTGGGTCGGACTCGGACTTGGTGCACCGGCGGGATGCTATGGCTATCGCGTTGTTCAACCACTTGCTGGCGTCATGTGTTACTGGTCTCAGAGTCTGACGCAGCTGGCCGTAGCTGAAGGTTGTGCGCTCGTCGCTCTTCCTCCGATCGGGTTCGCCGGATGAAGCCGGAGGCTCAGTACTCACGGTCCTGCAAGCACTCCGAACACGGGGGTCGGGGCCAATATGGAGGGATGGCACGCCAAGGGATGATGGTCAGCGAATGAAAGGGCAGTACCCGGTGGTAGGGAGGAAGTCGGTTTCCAGAATAATTATTCCTGGTTCCGCAATGAGGTGGCACGTGTATGAGTCGGGGAATTCAGGGTGGTGGGGAATACGCTCGCGAGCTCGGTCAATGTCCCACTCGCAGATACGTTCGTTTCCCACCGGGTATGGGGATTCAGGAAGGTTTTTACTCGATCATGCAGAAAAACACACGTGCTCCCATACTCCCGAAATTCCGGATCCCTCAAGCACTCGCAATCAGTAATACAAAAAGGGAGTTCAATATTCATGTTGTGGGGTGAGGCAGGGACTCCGTCATTCGAAAGGTTGGACCGAGCACTGGCACTGCAGACACGCTTGTAGGCCACAAGGCCTGCCCTTCGGTCCGATAGACAATGGCTAATGGCCCATATCTCGTACGTGCTGCCCTGTTAACCGAGGATGGACAGCCCTAGGTGCAAGGCAGACATCTGATCATCTAGCATGCTTACTCAATTTCGATAGACAAATACCCGTCTTCCAGTTTTAGGCATACATAAGCAGAAAAAAAAAGGAAGGTGACAATCAGGATCGTACAAAATTCGATCGCAGACAATTAATCAATCAATGGGGTCCATCCATATGAGGGGAGAACAAATGGGAGAAACAGTCATTCATCAATCACTAGAGACAAGCGAAGGAAAGATCCGAGATGCCGATCGAAAGAAACAAAGGCGATTTGCGCCGGATACCGAAATTGCTCAGAAGGAAAAAAGAAGGGCCAAAATTATTCAGAGGGACAGAAGAGAACACCACCACAACACCTCTCATATCTCTCTCTCTCTCTCTCTCTCTCTCTCTCTCTCTCTCTCTCTCTCTCTCTCTCTCTCTCTCTCTCTCTCTCTCTCTTTCTCTCTCTCCCCAGAATATCCCGATGCGGGCAGTCCCTCGCCTCGCACCTACGCCAAATTGTCACCCCGCTTGGCCCGATCATGCCCGTCAGGTTTGCCCGTGCATCACAGTCCGTCGTCGGATCGCCCAACTCTCTACTCACTTGCCAACTCATGCGCGTTACCCAATCCTTTCGACACACTAACTCCGAAAGGTCTTCGAGAGGAAAATTAATCGCGCTTGCGAGATTTATAGAATGCATGCTTTGCGTGAGATACCCGGGATCGTTTTTTGGTGGGAGGGAGAAGGAGGAAGGAAGTGCCTACTCCTGCATGGCCAGGCCGCGGCGTGGGGGACGTAGCCACACTTCACACACCGATCCGATCATGCAAGCGTTCGGGCCAATAGGACGGAGGAGAGGTATGCGCGCGCACTGCGCAGGGGCACCATAAAAGATATCAAGAACGAGAGGATTAGAGTTGCGATCACGCCCGCCAAAACAAAGATTACAGTTACACACGAGACTAACGTGCGGGAAAGCCAGAACACAGTTCCCGACGCGTTCAATTACAAAAAGAAAAATCCGAACGAAGCAATTTCCGAAAGGCCGCAGGGGCTCAACATTGGTTGAAAATTCAAAAAGATTTCCCCGTGCGACAATCGCGCCAAAATTCTCATTTCCCACAGCAGAACAAGAAAGAAGCTATGGCAATTGTTTATTCGTCGTGCTTGTTGAGGCGCGATCAACTATCAATCGTTGTGGGTCCAAACCAGCCTTCAATCGAAAGAGACAAAAAAAAGCAGGGGCATCCATGCAAACCGTCAGGCCATTCCGACTCAGCCAATTCCCTCCCCCCCCCAATTCTGCCTTGAGCAGAAATCCGCTTGGTTACAGGAAACAGTTCGTCACATTGGTACCGTCGCCGTTGGAGTGTGGCTTGTGCTTGGGGGGGGCGGGGGTAATTGGGGGGGAGGGGGCGAAATGGCCGTTGAGCAGACGGACCGTTGGAGGCCGCAGGGGGGGGGGGGGGGGGGGGGGGGGGGGGGGGGGGGGGGGGTGTCTGTAGGGGGCAGTTCAAATTTGAACGGTCCATGGTGGCTGGCGAGTCTGGCGTCCCTGCGTTTATCTGTGCGTGAGATGTAATACATGACATGCGCGACAGTCGTATTGTAATGCATGGCGTTGTGCACCAATGTCGTGCTCTTCGTCGCCTTCTGAGCATGCTTGTCGTCTTTGTAGGTTGCCGCCGTGTCCATCACGTCCCGTTTCATGGCATACCACCCCGGGAAGATTGTCGTTTTGTGTGTCGTGTTGCTGGTCCTTATGGTCATCGTCCTCTTGCACCTGTCTGGTTTGCTGCGTGGTCGTGCGAGGACTCACAAGCGGGGGTTGTCGAGCACGACATCACATAGGAAGCCAACAACAATCATGGCAGGTGTGAACGACCATGAGAGGTACACGTACGGCATGGGAGCAAGGTGGATGTTCGGTGATGGGAACGAAGCCGAACCCCGGTTCGACCCCAGTCCTTACGTCCATCTGCCACCTCATCAGCAGCCCCTGCCAGATGACGAGACTTGGGCGCCCCCCTCTCCCACCCTGCCATTAGCGTACGGATCCACCCAGTCAATGGTGCACGGTCAGTGATGCGGGGTGGTTCGAGCGAGGGAAGAGATGGAATCGCTCCTGTATTCTGACGGCCGACGTGGGATGTGCCCACCATTGGATCTTCAATTATCCCCCGTCAAGCCACCGATGGAATCGCTCCTGTATTCTGACAGCCGACGTGGGATGTGCCCGTCAAGCCACCGGTGGCTTGGCGGTGGCCGACGTGGGATGTGCCCACCGTTGGATCTTCAATTATCCCTGCTCACCAGTGGCTTGGCTGCGGTCGGCCAAGATCTCGTCGCTACAGTGGCAGGTGGCCCACCAATGCCTTCCGACCAATGACTGGTTGATTGATCACACTAGGTCAGAACAACAAAGAAGGGCGCTGCCTTGGTGCACAATATGTCTGCAGATCTACCCCCCGCGAAAGAGAATCGAGACAATCAAGCACCTCTTCCTTCAGTGCCCTTCATCAGTATTGCTGTGGCATGGGTGGGACAGGATATTGCGGCAGACAGTCCCCGACACTGGCTGGCCATGGGATTGGAGAGCATTACTGACGGGCCACTGGCCACAATCTCCGGACGACCCACTGACGGGAAAGCGGTTCTTTGGGTGATATGGTGGAGAAGGGGCATCCTAGAAATTGAGGGTGCACGGGTGGAGGAAGGGGAGGTAACCGAGGTGGTCCGGCAACTAGTACAAGCAGAAATCACAAACCAGTGGCAGGTAGCCAGACAGCGAATAAGTTTCGTGCATACCAGGAATGACATTGCGGGGATAATCACTCGGTTCTGCGAGAACTGGTTGGGAGGGAGGAGGGGGGGATGGATGGCAAGGGTAGTCTGGTCAGGGGATAACCCCCTTGAGGAGGGAGGGGTGGCAGGGGGAGACATACCCAGGGACTACAAGCGCTTATCTTTCGGAATTGGACTGCAATAGACCCCTGCATCCCCCTAAGCCCAGCGGCAGATTTCCCGGACCTCTTCCCCCCCCACCCATTATCACTTGTGGAAGTACACCAAGAGGATGGCTAAGCTCAGGCTTTAGCAAGTAGTTATTCCCTTCCAGGGATTCTCAGAGGTCGTGCTTCGCATAGAGTATGGGACGCTGAGTTCTCAGAGATTCTCAGAGGTATGTCCCTTAAACAATGTGCTTCGCATAGAGTATGGGACGCTGAGCCCAGTTCTCAGCCTTGTTTGTGTTTTCTTCTAAATTTAGAGGTAGAGGTAGGCCGACAGGGGCCTGAAGGGACGGCGCACTGGTGCCCCCCAGTGTCCCCGGCTGGCCCCCAGCTGTGGAATAGAGCATGAACAAGGGAAGCTGGACCCGGTTTCCAGCAGCAGTGAGTCATCCCAATCCTTTGTTTTCATAAGGGACGCTGGGCCCAGTTCCCAGCACATGGAAAAACATATGTATTTAAGGGACGCTGGACCCGGTTTCCAGCAGGTGATGCTCCCAACCAATAGATGGAGCGGCCCACCAGGCAAAGCCTCAATTCCGGTGGTTCTCTTACCACCACTGGGATAGAGGCCTTGCACAAGGGCCTTCGCTTAAAAAAAATAAAAATATAAAAAAGAGCAGCCCCGACCTTGTGACCTTTCAGGAGGCCAAAACGAAACGACGGCCGCCGATCAGATTTATCAACGGCGGGCTCGGCCTCCTGAAAGTTCGRAGGTRGACCAGTACTTGTCGAAAATAGGCTCGGAAGTACTAGTGGTTTAAGGGATCCCGGTAGGAGAGGTGTTAGTAGACAGACTCTGGTGGAGGAAACCGATGGGGAACCTGCAGTAGGCGGGGATTGTCTGAGGGGGATCCTCCAAGATAGGATGGTCTGGGTCCCATACAATTAGTTGCTGACTGTAGACAGGTACCTCCAGAAACCACCCTCTACAACACCCTGGACTTAAAAAAAAAATCCCCTGCCAGCATCGCTGCACTACTCTCGACATGCATAAAAGACAAAAATCATGGCGCTGTATCTTTCCATGTTCTAGCGGCAGATTCACTCTCATTTTGCACATTTCAAGAGTAGTGGAGCCCGACCCTCTATCCTCAAAACGGGTGGAGAACCAAATTGGAGGAAGGGCCGGATCCCCAGCTGGAAGACCTCCTTGATAGGTGCCAAGCAAAAACCCTCATGCAGCGGTGTTATGTGATCTTTAGGGAGGGGCAGAATCTGTACGATGCGATCATGGCGCAGGCTCTTATGATGACATCGCCTGCAACAACGACACCGGTGACCGTTTCGTCGACTATACATACATCTGCGGCGGTGACGCCGACAACAATGACACCAACAACAACGACAACAACGCCGGCACACGCGATACCAAGGATACAAGCTACATCAGCAAAGGTGTCGACAGGGGCAGTGGCGGCAATGGTGACAACAAAGACTTCGATAACAACCACAACAACGACGACACATGTGAAACACGCGACAATAACGACAACAACAATTACACCAATGGTGTCAGCAGTGGCAGCAGAGGTGATGATGACAACAGTGACACCGACAACATCAACAACGATGATGACATATAAAACAATAATGACAACAACGACGATACTTCTTCGATTCCCCCCTCTAGTGGTAGGGGGGTTTCCTTTGCATTTCCAGTCTTTTGTTGGCCTTCGGATAGGGGTGGGTTAGCTGTTGACTAATGGTATAAGGGGATTGCTGGCCTGTGGGTCCCGAGTATGATTGCCATGCATTAGAGAGGCTAGCCAGATAGGTTTGTGGTTGATGGGCTGTTGCCCCCTCCACTAAAAATGAATTGAGATGTGATTTGCAACATATTAGTGTTAACAATGCAGTAGGTTAATCCTCCTCTGGTATGGGGGAGCAATCAAAGCCTCTGCACAGATGATAGATATATTCACGAGCGGTGTCTGTTGGGATGGCCACGTGGCCTATCTTCATGTTTGCTATGTTTTCATATCATTGTACAGGGACGCCGGACCCGATTTCCAGCAGGTGATGCTCCCCACCAATAGATGGAGCCTTTGTTTTCTAAAAAAAAAAAGAGAAAACTACGGCGCAGTCAGGGTTACAGTTTGTAATTGCATTTGAAACTGCGTTTTAGCAGTTTAGTCAGGGCCCGAGTTTCAATTGCATTTGAAACTGCGTTTAGCAGTTTGAAACTCGGGCTGGCTTTTTCTAGCAGTTCAGTCAGGCACATGGCCGTTTCTTTCTTTTTTTTTTTTTTCGGTCGCCTGCCGTCCCGCGCCGTGCCGTTCCGCGGCTGAAAAAAATAAATAAAAAACAGCCCCATGGTTGGGCCACGGCCGAGATGTCTCGGCCACACCCCAGACTGGCCACGGCCGAGATGTCTCGGCCGCACCCGAGACTGGCCATGGCCGATATGTCTCGGCCACACCCCAGATTGGCCAGGGCCGAGATGTCTCGGCCACAGCAGAGATTCGCGGGCACTACCTTCACAGGCAAACGTGAAGTCTCAAGAGTAGCCTACTCCGAAAAGTGGGAGCCTCGGGGCAGGGATGGAGGCCAAAAAAAGAAAAAAGAAAAAAGAAAAAGAAGAAATAAAAAAGTAAAGAATCGAGCAACTTCGAATCCACCTACGTCCGGAAGGCCGTCAAGTCACCAGTGCTTTGACGAATGTATCTGGCCAGGAAGTGAGGAACATGAAACAGGTCGTTTTCCTTTTTTGTTTTTTGTTGTGAGGTCCCTGTAGCGCCCTGCCAGCCAGGCAGGGCGGATTCCACGCTTCATTGAGTTCCAGACAAGTACTGTAGCATCCTGTATCCGACCGCAATCACAGCATAAGGGATGGTTTTTTTTTTTTTTTTTTAATCTGCTGTTCGTGGATAGACGAGGGCCCTGACTGAACTGCTACGGAAAGGCAGCCCGAGTTTCAACTGCAATTGAAACTCGGGCCCTGACTAAGGGCCTCGCCACACCACTCTTGAAACGGGGACATTTTTCAAGAGCTGTCAGATGTTCTCAAGAGTTGGGTTTTCAAGAGTTCCGGGCCCCTCGCCACACAGCACTCTCGAAAGCGTGATGGTGTTGGACAAATGATGGAAAACGACAGTCGTGCAGCTTTGTTTTTTCCGAATGGCGTCAGGATAACGGCCTGACAGCTCTCGAAAATCGAGAGTCCTTCGAGTGCCCTCGGGAGGACGCTTGAAAAGCACGGTGTTGCAGGCTGGGTGTTTAGGAGTTTCGAGAGCTACTCTCGAAACGAGGTTCTGACAACTCTCGAAAGAGTTTTCGGGCCACAACTCTCAAGTGGCTGTGCGGCGACAGCTCCAACTCTTGAAAACCGGGTTTCAAGAGTGGTGTGGCGAGGCCCTAAACTGCTAAAACGCAGTTTCGAATGCGATTACAAACTGTTTTCGTGACTGCGCCAAAGTTACCCCAAAAAAAAAGAAAAAAAAAGAAAGAAAGAAAGAAAGAAAGAGAAAGTAATACCTGTCCGAGCAGGTGCCTGTTGACAGAGGCACCTGCCTCGTTTATGGCGATCTCCCGTCTCCACAACTTGATGAGACAGACGCCTGTTGTGCCTGTCTTTTTTTATTGTTGTTCTCTTTGTGCCTCTCTTAATGGGTGTCAGCCTTTCATTTCGTTTTCCTTGCTGTGGAGGTTAGCGGGGGGGGGGTTCTTTTCTTTTGCTGCTCACCATCTAGGGAGCTATACTTTGTTTGCTCCATTTCCTTTTTTTCCTGGCTTGTTTCATTCATATTTGACCGTTTTGCTGCCTGTCTTCTGCACATGTGTTTCCAAATTCAGGAATGAGCCCGCACGAAAACTTGCAGTCTGTTTGCCCTCTTTCAATGGGCCCACAAGCTTGATCCCCGGTGGCACTACCACCGAGCCTTCCCCTAAAATTTATCTAGGGATGAGCCACTCAACTGAACACCTCCCTCTTGACCCTCGAGCGCTTTAAGACCTACCTCGCTGAGGTGTGGTCCTTTTGGCAGGAACAAAAACATCAGATCCAAGACGAAATTGAATGGTTCAACAACGGCCTGGCTTTTATAGGCCGCAAGTGCAATGAATACTCTAAACTTCTTGCGGCACGTCGCCCCGCAGAGGAACTAAACTTACAACGGCAACTGCAACACATACAACGACAGGAAAACGAGACAGATGAGGAGCAAACGGAACTCGCTAGAACCGTCCAGACCATAGAGACCCAAGGCGTGCGGATCCGCGGGAGACTCTCCAAACATAATACAGAGGGGGCAATGGACGCTAGGTTCTTTGCCATGGCCAAGGCTAATTCAGGGAGGACAGTCATTGAAGCCTTGGAGGATCCTAAAATCCAGCAAGGCCCCCTGCACACGTCTACAGCCGCCTGCACAAAGATAGCACGCGACTTCTACCAAACCTTGTTCACCTCGGAGTGTGGGCAGCTCCCCGCGCATCGACGAACAGCGGATATTATCGAATTTTTGAGCCCGCTGACTAGAACTTTAACAGAACAGCAGAGAGCACGTCTAGACGAGCCCCTAGCGAAAGATGAAATATGGACGGCATTATCGCAAATGGAGGATGAAAAAAAACAGGCATAGATGGGCTCCCTAAGGAGTTCTGGGTGGCAATGTGGCCAGAGATATCGCAAGATCTCATGGATTTTTACCGAGAGGTCTGGGCCACAGGACAGACTGGGGAGCTGGTTGGGCAAGGGGTGCTGACGCTCCTCTACAAGAAAGGGGAACGGATTAATATACGGAACTACAGACCCATTACCCTGCTAACAGTGGTCTATAAAATGATCGCTAAAGCATTAGCCAATCACATGACACCGATAATGTTGGACATCATTCACCCAGACCAAACAGGCTTCATCCAGGGCAGGAATATCCAGGACAACATCCTCCTGGTCAACGAGATGATCAAACCTATGTTGCATGTAGGCCGCGGCCTGGTTCGGCCACAGCCTAGGCCGGGCCCCCCCCGAACGCGGCCGATAATTAAAAAAAAAAAAAAAAAAAAAAAAAAAAAAAAAAAAAAAAAAAAAAAAAAAAAAAAAAAAAAA